TTAATATAAATGAAAATTCCTCTTTCATGTTTCTTGCAAAGTTTCCTATACCACATACTGTACTAGCTGCTGGGAATATGGGGTTGAAGCAGCGACCATAACAAATAAGAGTCCTGTCCTCATACAAGAGAATAGGCTAATCTGACTGAAGAGACACAGGAGAAAAACTAAACAAGCTGTGATGCCACGAAAGCCTGGAAATAAAGGATTTCAAGAAAGAGGGAATTTCAAAAATGTACAGAAGGGAACTGACTGGAAAGGGGCATGAAGGAACTTGTGAAATAATGAGAACATTTATATCATGATTGAAATGGTTGCTCCACAATAGTTTACATTTGTTATAAAACTCACTAAATACACATGTAGAATTAGTAAATTTTACTGTATTTACTGTACAGGATTTATGATCATAACTATCTCACTAAGTCTAATTTTTAATAGTATAAATATCATTAGAGACAATAAAAAGGTATAGGACCTGTTCTAAATTCAAGGAAACTCAAGAAGTACGACAAATAGATGTGACATATGACCCCCTCCCAACACACACTTTTTTTGAATCTGGAATCTAGGGGAAAAAAAGCTATCAAGAATATTTTAGACCCTTTAGGCCAGGAGTTTGAGACCAGCCTGAGCAAGAATGAAACCCTATCTCTACCAAAAATAGAAAAAGTTAGCCAGATGTGGTAGAGCATATTAGTAGTCCCAGCTAGTTGGAACGCTGAGGCAGGTACATTATTTGAGCCCAGCAGTTTAAGGTTGCAGTGAACTATGATGCCACCACTGCACGCTAGTTGGGAAGAAAGAGTGAAACTGTCTTAAAAAAGAGGGAGGGGAATATGGACTATGATAAACTGTATTGTAAAATAAAAATAAAAACTGTATTGTATCAATGTTAAACTGTTTTGTTTATTGTGATCATTTTATTATAGTTATTTAAGAGAATGTCCTTTTCACAGGAGATATATTTTCAAATATTTAGGGGTAAAGGGTCAGAATGTCTGCAGTTTACTCTCCAGTGGTTCAAAAAAAAAAAAAAAGAAACAATCCATATGAGTATGCATAGATATTAAACAAATGTAAAAAAGCCAGGTGTGATGACTCAAGCCATAATCCCAGCACTTGGGAGGCTGAGGTAGGTGGATTGCCTGAGCTCACAGGCACTGTATTCATCTTTTGACTTCTCTATAGATTTGAATTTTTAAAAAATAAGAATCAGGGGACTAAAAAAAAAGGAGGGAATAATTAGCTGTGCCAAAAACTGTTGAGAGGTCAGGTAAGATGAGAATGGAGACATGACCTTTGACTCTTGCAAGGTATTAGTCACTGATGGCCCTTTTGCAAGACTATTTTAGTGGACTGGAGGGGCAAAAGCTGGGTAAGAGTGGACAGAAGTTAGAATAGAGGGTAAAAAAGTTGAGGCAGTGAGTATAAGTAACCCTTTCAAGAATCTTGCTAAGAAGGGCAGCAGAGAAATAGCACATGGAGTCAAGATAGCCTCCCTGCATCAAAGGTAATATTAAGATATTTTGTATGCTGATGGGAAAGATCTAATTTAGAGAAAAAGAAATTGATAATCTATTATAGTAGAGAAACGGTATAAATGCAGAAGAAAAGTCTTTGAGCATTGTGAGGTGCTAGGATTTAGGTTCAAAAAGGAAGGAATCACCTTAGATGACGGTGATAACAATGACAATTGTGGTAACACAGTAGCTACTCAGAAAATAGCCAGAAACTATTTAAAGCACTTTTACTCATTTAATTTTCACACCAACTCTAAGAGAAAGTTGAGGTATTACTTATATTTCCTTTTACAGATGAGGAAACTGAGGTATGGAAAATATGATTAACTTGCCCAGTGATAGGAATCTAGTCAGTGGCAAAGCTGGGAGTTAGAATCTAATGGAGGCAACAAGTGGGAAGGCAGAGTTTGTGGGCACAGATGCAGCTGGGCTGGCGGTAGTGGAAACATGAGACAGCTCTTGTATGATCACATCTATTTTCTCAATGCAGCAGTTGGTGAGTTCATCAGCTGAGAGGGTGAGAGAGGGGATGTTGGAGTTTTGAAAAGAGAAGGTGAGAAATTCTTGTTTCAGAGAGAGGGAAAGTGAATTTACTACCGATAACCGGTGGTAGTGAATACCCCTTCGAGATTAATGGCTATAAATCTGAAGTGAATCCTGACTGAACAATACTTTCAAGCAAGTATTTTCGCTGTTTGTGAGCAGACATAAAGAGGAGAGTTGGGTTTAATTAGGGTGAGGTTTTTTCCCAGGCAGGTGGGACTTAAGAAGAAAAAGCCAGAGAATGTTCACAATAGAGTGCTGACAATGTAGCCATGGAAGCCAGGCTGGGTAAGGAGTGAATGGCCATGTGACAGATACAGAGAACAGTGGTAGGGTCAAAGGACTGGAGATTTGCCAGGGAAGTGTGAATATTAAAGACACTAAGTAACAGAGAGTGGGATGTTTGGAAAGGAGATTTCAAAGGAAGTGCCATTACTGATGATGGTAAGGTCTAGATGGGAGGCTGAAGTGATTGGATCAAAAAAGGTTAGGGTCCTAGATAAGCCCCCTATGTGGCTGTTGAAGTTACACAGAGAGATAACAGAAGCCATGGTGCACAGTCATCAGTGAAGAGAGGGCAGATGACAGTAACAAAGAAGGGTAAGAGGAGTAAAGTCTGATGTGTATACTTGAAAGATGTTAGAAGGACTGAAAAATAAAGGAGGAGAAAGAATATGGAAGTTATAGTGTGGAGCAAGGTACCACTCAGCCTCCTGTAGGCTCTAACATACCCAAGGTAGGAAAGAAAAAGCAGGCTCTAATTCGGGAAATACTCTCAGTTAGAGCAAGAAAGTGAAGGGATTGGTCAGAGAAGAGGCTGGGATATAGCATAGTACTTGTTACATGTAACATGTATCAATCAGCAATTAACATTTCTTAATTTGAATCTTAATTTTTCTAATAGTTTACTGTATCCTATAAATGAAACAATTTAGAGACAAGAATCTGAAACAGATTAAAAGTACAATGATGTTCTAGCGACTGAACTTTCCAAATCCACGAAAGGGTCATCTTTAAAAATTAGTCACCTGGCCAAGATAAGCATAGCTGAACAGCATCTTATTGTTTTTGGCTTAATGTCAGTGGATAGCTCACTGTTATAAAATAGAACCAGGCATTCTCTTGCATAAGAACTCAGTATCAGGAAAACAAAATTAAATAAATTCTGCCTTGATGAAGTTTAGAAAACAGCCTGAGTATGAGCTAACCAAAGTTAAATCCACTATAGTTCAAGCAGAGGAAACATAGGTACCTATAGGATGAAAATAAATGAGATTTCTTAAATCTACTGTATTTCTTGAAGTGTAATAAATTACACTCTGGAATATACACTTACCACCTTATTCTGGTGGTAGTACATATATTCCATTAATAACTTGAGAGGTGTGCCTTTACTGAAGAAAGAAATATTCTTCCCAATATTATAGTTTCTTTTCTTAAATTTGTTCTGAATATCTCTGTAAGACTAAGTTATTATAATTTGCTTATGATTTAACACACAAAAAATTATATGTCTATAAAGTTGCCTCCTAAGCATTTCTAATAAGCTATCTGTATATAGGTTCATGAAATTCTGGAGAGCATTATAATCTCAAAATATACAATGAACAATATTTGTTCCCTAAAGACTAAATTTTATTGGAATTTATCTATAATCTCCCTAGAAATCTGTTGTTTGTTTTACAACTGTATTTAAAAATTTAATTATGATCATCAATCAGAATATAGACTGTTTCAGCTGTAGATTAACTTAAAGGGTTCTTCATTTTCATTTTGCTTATGTGAATTTTTAACACTAGACAGAAAATTTACTGGTAGGTCCATTATGCCAGATAATGGACTTAAGAAAGATGGCCTACTCTCCTATTTTCAGTAGGCCTAATACGAAGCGCCAAAGAAAGCAATTAGTCAATAACAGACACTGCACTCATTTATAATGCATAGCTGGTACTGGGAGGTATTTTTTTCTCCATGAAGAACCGTGACAGCTGGAAGTAATCTCTCCTACATCAAATTTCTTTAGTACTTTGTATATTACTTATGGGACTCTCTCTTTGAATACAGTTATTTCTGTGTTTGTCTTATTTTTCCCTTTAGACAACAAGCAGGTACACTATGCCTTAACATCTTTGGATTTCAGTATTATTTGCATTTTGTTTAATGCACAGTACTTGTAGTAAAACAAAATGCAATAGTAATACTATCAAATCAAAACCTTGTATATTATGGATTAAACATAATTAGATTTCTGTGGTTTGGTTGAGGATCATATTAACATTTAGGTAACACAGGAAATTGCTTTAAGCTCCCAAACCTGAATTTACAAATTCACTGTTAGAACACAGCAGGGACCTATACTACATTTATGACTTGAAAGTCTCCAGACGGCAAGCCTGCAAAGCAGTCAAGATGCTAGCTTTTGGCTTGGCGCCCGTAGCACAGTGGATACGGCACCAGCCACATGCATCGAGGCTGGTGGGTTTGAACCCGGCCAGGACCTGCTAAACAACAATGACAGCAGCAACACAAAAATAGCTGGGCATTGTGGTGGACGCCTGTAGTCCCAGATACTTGGGAGGCTGAGACAAGAGAATCGCTTGAGCCCAAGAGTTTGAGGTTGCTGTGAGCTGTGATGCCATAGCTCTCTACTGAGAGTGACATATGGGACTCTGTCTCCAAAAATAAAAAAATTTTAAAAAGATGCTGGCTTTTCCAATTTTGTAAATAAAAATTATTTTTGTCTTTTAAAAAATACAACAATTTTTTAAAAGAGAATAATGGAATGTAAAAATAATATTTTTGTGAAAACAGTAGGAAAATGTTTCAGAAATAATGCATGGATACCCAATTGAACATTTTAAATGTCTTTTAATTAATCCAGAGAATCTTGGTTAAACAATCTCATGTTGTTCATAAACCAACATTTCAACTTACCATTTATGTTTATCGCTGGTAATACAATTGACATTTTTGGTCTTGTGGTCTTGTTATGGGTAGTAGCTGGTAACAGCAGGTGATCCTACAATTAACAAAGAATAATCTGTTAAATATAATAACTAGTTGAGTCCTGAATAGGCCAAATTCAGGATTTCTAAGAGGAACATTTTGCTGAGATCATGAAAAATGACAGTTTTTGTTTGAACTTTGCTTAGAATTATTCAATCATTCATTAATGTAGACCAGAAGACTACATATATAACCTTTCTGGGTCTGTTTCCAGTCTGGTAAAATGACAATGGCTAATTAGGTAATGTCAAAAATACTCAATTTATCTGTCCACTAAAAAGTCATTTTTTTTAAAGAAGAAGAATTTTTTTCCCCACAACAAAATAATTCTTATCTCAAACTATTGATATATAAAAAAGAGATTTTGACGTGGGACCAGGGCCTTGAGACTTGTCCACTTAACCTCCTCTTCTGTCTGCCTCTGAAGAAGCCACAGCATTAAACATTTATTTGTAAACAATAGGTACATGTAAGAGAAAATGTGCCATTCTTGCCCTTAAAAAGCAGTTCTTCTATTTCAGTAGGAGAACTAAAGTTGTAAATGTGTGTCTGGCACAACTATATAGTCCTAAATATAATATAGCCAACTTTTGATGATCTGTGAGTGACCCAGGTTACCTGAAGTTTCTGGTTTCAAGCCACACTATTCATAAAATTAAGAGCGAGCCCAGAGGAGTCTGACTTCAGGAAAGGGGAAGTGTAACCATTCTGAAACATGTATATACAGAGAATGCCAAAATAATTTACACACATTTTAAGAAGGGAAAGAACTATGTTGAATTAGTAATACTCAAGTCACGTCTGAATTCTGTAATTACAAAGGAGCTCAACATGACTTATATTGATCTTTTGTTACCAGTATATAAACGTATAGAGTATGACAATTTTAGTATAGTTTTTTCCTTTCTTAAAATATGCAAACATTCTTTTGGCACTCTCTGTTTATCTGTAGGTATTCCAAAGCTGATTATAAGTGACTTATGATATTAATATTAACTACTATTTTCAATAGCTCTTCTTTTTCCTAGTAAAAACCTAAGAATCCTCACGGAGCCCTTTTCTTTGTCATGACAATGGAGACCCATTACTTGTCCATGGTGAATATGTCTTGCTCTGTAAACCTGCATATTGGTCTTACTCTGTAAATCTACCATTCTCTTCCTCAATAAACTTCGTTTCATATTTGCAAAAAAAAAAAAAAAAGCAACAGAAAAAGAAAAAAAAAGTACATTAGCATCTCTATTTAAATTGGAGATAAAACTGAACGTGAGTTTAACCGATTTTCCTTTTTTTTCTTGTTCCTTCATTCCTTCATCAAACTTGCTATATTCAAAAAAGTAGGATTTGATATAGCTACGAGTGATAAAAATTCGATACAACTTAGCTGAAAGTCGACATGATTAAGAAATGAATTATCAGCAAAGCTAAGAAAATATCTAAAATGTGGAAAACAAATTGAAATTGATACATATGAACAGAACCGTGCAGAAAACATTTCCAGTAACTGCTTGTGCTTTGTTGCTTCAAGGCAACATTTCCGTGAGAACATGTTTTTAAAAATCAGGGAGGGGAGGAAAGATGAATAACATTCTGTTAGAATTCCAGCATTGTGGCACAGGAGTTTTATTTGTTTTTGTTTTATTTTTTTAAAGTGCATTGTTAGACACAAAGATCACACAATTCTGAGAGTAAGATAACATTATAACCAAGAAAAAACAAAGTTTGCTCATGTTCATGCCATGAAAATTATAAATAGCTTAATTCCTATAATTAAAATACTGTTTTGGGGTCTCTAAATCGAATGCAAAAACAAACCCAAAACTTGCAAGCCCCAAATTAAAGCTATTGTAAAAATAAACACACTCAGATTCCACTGGTCATGGGTTAAGGTCAGAATCAGACTTAATTCTGAGCTTCCTGCTAAGATCTAGATGCCATATTAATTGTTGTTTTTAAACATGGTTTCTGAACATAATGTCTTCTACTTTTTCTCTACAATAAATTTCAAACAAAGTAGTTATTTTTGCAGCTGAAAGCCAATAGCCACATTAGTTATGAAAAAGAAGAGTCATTTCTTGTATACATACAAATTACGACAGTTGACTTGTCTTGTCTTTAATTATTAAAGGTTTGCAAGCTGCAGGAATAGACTACAACTTAAAGTGCTTGCTTACCAAGAGGCCCAAAGATAAGTCTGTAGGGAACCAAAAGTGGTGGGCTACAAACTTTAATAGTGCTTACATTAGATTAAAAATAATTTATATATATATATTGAATATATGTCTGCAACAGTATAGTTACTTCATTTAACACTTATCTTCCTTTCCTCAAAAATAAATGTTCCTTGAACCTCACAACAATGAATCTTGAATCATCTTTTTCTCTATGTTCACCTCACTCTTTCTTAGATCATTAATCCTGTTAGTTGCATTTTCAGAAACAAAGGTGCTTTAGTTAATCAATCAAGAAATATTTATTGACTTCTTACCATTAATTAAAGAAAAAAAATTTACTGAACAAAATGCCTTGCCATGTATTCAGTACTGTATTGTGGAGAGTACTTTCTTTTAAAGGATATGAATCTAAGTTTTCATTTTGTTAAGGAAAACAATGTGACTGTGGCAGAAACAGCCATTTGTTCATAATATATGTTCTCCTTCAATGATATTAGAATAGAAACAGGTCCTCTAATTATTTAATTGAGCACAAAGCCATGAGTAATAAAGACTACATTCCCCAGCCTCTTTTGCAACCAAGTGAGAGTGCATATTCTGGTCAATGGGCGTAGAGGAGTGTACACACACCTTCCTCAAGATGGTAACGGTGGACAGCTGCCTCCTCCTTCCCTGTTCTCCCTCTTGCTAACCAGAAGGCAGACAGGACTGCTGGAGCTGAAGTAGCTATATTTGGGCTATGAAGTAGAAGCTGCAAGTTGAAGATTATGGAGCAACAAGACAGAAAGAGATAGGGATCCTGATGATCCAGAAGCTATAATTAAGATTTGGGGAACATATATACAGGAGAGAGAGAAAAAAATAAAGTCTAATTTGTCTAAGCCACTATCATTTTGGATTTTCTGTCACTTGAAGCCTAAATCTAAACCTAATTACTATTCATGTTATAACATTGTAAAAAAGTACTAAAGATATTCTGTCAAGAGGAATATCAATAAAAGCTGAAGTCATCAGGGATAGCCTTTTTTTTTTTTTTTTTTGAGATGGAGTCTCACTGTGTCACCCTCGGTAGAGTACCATGGTGTCACAGTTCACAGCAATCTCAAACTCTTGGGCTTAAGCGATTCTCTTGTCTCAGCCTCCCAAGTAGCTGGGACTATAGGCGTTCACCACAAGGTCCAGCTATTTTTTTGTTGTAGTTGTCCCTGTTTTGCAGGCCCAAGCCAGGTTCAAACCCTCCAGCCCTGGGTTATGTAGCCAGCACCCTAACTACTGAGCTATGGGCACCAAGCCAGCCTTGTTATTTTTTAACAGCACAGGAAAATTGTACTTATTATATAGCCTTCCTGATACACTCCCCCAGGATACACACACTACACCATTTACCTAAATACTTATTAATGAACTAGTGGAAGAAATTCAATCTTGGAGCTACAATTTGATGAACCTCAATGAAATACCTTCCTTCCTACTAAGTCAGCTAAAATAATACAACTACAATAAAAATTAAACAACTTAAAAATAAAAAGGAAAAATTAAAAAATAAATTAAAAAAGGATGCTGCTTGGAGGCTGAAGTGCGAGAAGCAGGAGGTTTGCTTCAGCTCAGGAATCTGAGTCCAGGCTGGGTAAAAGAGACTCTATCTTGAAAAGAAAGAAAAGAGAAAAGATGCTGCCATAGAGATAAATGTGGTAATTCACAATAAAATTAAGATTTTAGTTGGTTATCAAATTTTGATTCTACCAATCCATGTAGAATAGAAACTGATTTACTAGATTAAAACCCACTGATTGGTGTCCACAGCACACTTAGTATTCACAACTAGTTCAGTTGTGTTTTTTTCCCCCACCAAGGGTACTTTTGCCAATTGTATTTGGCAGTATAATTGTGTAATTTAATAAAATACAACAGAACTTCACAGTTGACCAGCTCCTTAAGTTGACATAATTCTCACAGACTGGCCCTGCACCACGTTACGTTACCAGTACAGCAGGCCTGGCTTCTAATGTTGTGTACCTCTGTATGTTGCCCAGTTTGTTATAGTCCCTTGGGTTGTCAGAGGTTCTACTGTATTATATAAACTAATAAAATACTGTGTGCAAAGAGAGCAAGACTTGATTTAAAAAAACAATTAAGTTAAAAAAAGATTTCATTGCAAAACAAACATAAAAACATAATAGTCTGTACTCAGATTACTTAACAAGTATCTTAAAGTTCTTATTCTAAATTTTTTTTTTTTTTTGAAACAGAGGCTCACTTTGTCACCCTTGGTAGAGTACTGTGGTGTCACATCTCACAGCAACCTCAAACTCCTGGGCCAAGCAATTCGCTTGCCTCAGCCTCCCAAGCAGCTGGGACTACAGGCACCCACCAGTGCCTCTCTCTCTGGCTCAGGCTGGTCTTGAACTGGTGAGTTCAGGCAACCCCCCCACCTCGGCCTCACAGAGTACTGGGATTATAGGAGTGAGCCACTGTGCCAGGCTCTTCTTCTAATTTAAAGTAACTCTAACCAATATTGGAAATCATGATTGTAGGTTATACAAAAAAGGCAACATGGAACTAAACAGTGATTTGAACTCAAAGGAAAGGCACTGACCTTACATAAATAACTGGCAAATGAATACACATTTAAATAATATGAAATAAAGACTAACATACGTATATTTTAAAATGCTTCCCTGGGGGAAAAAAGAAAAGAAAAAATGATCCCCTTCTTCAACCTATGTTAATTAATAGACTATCTTAGTAGTCCCTACTATATAATTGTAGATAAAATGGCTTCTACCATACTAGGAAATTCTGGCTCAAGGCTGGAGCCTTTTATCTTGAATAGAAAGGA